TTATAATAAAATTTTCGGATCTGCATTCTATATTAAACAATTATAAAAAAAAGACTTTACTCCGCCTTTAATTCCTCTCATGATACTTGATATTTTTTAATTCTATAAAAGTAAAGCATTTAATAAAAGTTGTCTTTTCATAGTAATAACGCTAGAATTTCAATTTTACTAATTAAAATAAGCTATTTTTTATGCTAAGTAGTTCTGGTTAAAAATCATGTGATAGATCTTTCACGTTGCACATAAAAGATAACGATCAAGAACTTTACTGATTGTGAATTTTATTTTCATGCTACTTTAAAAGAATGTTTTATAATAGAACAGAAATTAAATGACATGAATGCAGAAATAGGATAAAACTAAGATAGGTTATAATATATTAAATAGCTGTTTCAGGAGTTTGATCTCTAGAAACAACTATTTGATTTTTTTCAAATATCAGTTCGTCATCGTCACTTGATAACTCAATTATTTCAGGTGCTTCGTCACTTGAAATTTCAATTGTTTCGGGTATCTGGTCTTCGTGACTTAATATTTCAATTACTTCAGGTACCTGGTCCCTTCTACTATTATTCTGAGACACCGTCTCTCTATTTCCAAGAGGCTCGTCGGTTATATCTGTTGATTCTCTAACATGCTCAAAATCCAACTCTCTGTTTCCATAAAACTGGTATTGATCATTTACTGTAGTATTTACTTGCTCAGTGGCTATTCCTTTGTATTGAATATCACATATGAATTCGATTTTTCCTATTTCTGTATTCTTTGGAAAACCAGAGACGGTTCCAAAAAACAATATAGTACTCACAGGCGGTGGTGTAGTTTGGGTGAAAAACTATGTGGTCTCTTCAGGTGTTCTAGCAACATAAATATGCACAGCGTCGAAGTATATTTTATGTTTTTTTAGTTTCACGCTGTGAAAGCAAATGATTGAATGAAATTTTGTTTAATCCTGTATCACAATTTAAAATGCTGTATAAGAAGCATATTTTCTTTTCAGTTTCATTGATGTTATAAGTTGGATTGAAAACACCTTTGACTCTGGTTAAACGCCATTTAATATATTTATCCCGATATCTTTTGTTTATAGTACTTTGGAGAGGTGTTAGTTTTATGAAGGTCGAAAATCCCATACCATTTTCATCAACCTTTACTGAAAATGAAGCGCAAATTTTATCACTAAAAAGAGTATCTGTGGTAGGTAATTTTTTGTTTTTTGAGTGGTGAAAATTGGATGTCTTTGAACGAGGTTTTGGTATATGAGTGCATCT